GCAAACTGGTAACTGGTGATGAGACATGGACCTACTATCATGATCCTGAGACAAAGGAACAGTCTAAGGAATGGAGGCTCAGTGGTTCCCCCAGGCCAAAGAAGTTCAGACTGCAAAGGTTGGTGAAGAAGCAAATGGCAACAGTTTTTTTGGGATAAGAAGGGAGTTCTACTGGTGGACTACCTCCAACAGGGTTCAACTATCAATGCAAAATATTACTATGCTTTATTGATGAAGTTGAGGCAAAACATCAAGGAAAAACATCGAGGAAAGCTCTCCAAAGGTGTCATCCTGTTGCATGACAACACCTCGCCACACACTGCAGGTGAAACAATGGCAAAATTGATGTCCTTAGGCTTTCAAGTAATGCCCCATCCACCCTATTCTCCCGACCTGACTCCTTCTGACTATTATCTGTTACCCAAACTCAAAAACACGTAAAGGGACAATGATTTGGGAGTGTTCTGGAGGCAACTAATGCTGCAAATGAGTGGTTACACCAGCAGTCAGAAGAATTTTATTTGCAGGAACTTAAGAAGCTGCAGGACAGATGTCGCAAGTGTGTTGACTTCCTAGGGAAATATGTAGAATAGTGTGGCAGCTACAGCTTCCTAGCTCAATTTTTTCTGGGAAAGGCTCAATATTTATCAGCACCCCCTCGTACATTAATCCAGATGCTCTTGATGAGACAACCAAGTTTATCCTCCTGTATTTCTGCGCAGGAATATGTTTCTGACATATACTGCGATACTACCTCCCTTTCTATTTTTTTTGAACAATTTATAACCTCCAACTGCTGTCATGGGAGCCATTCCACCAATTTTCAGCTATTCCTTTCAAGTCATATTCTCCCCTCCTGAACAAAGATTTCCAGTTCTTGTTTGTTTCCCATACACCTAGCATTTGTATCCAGACACCAGAGATGGTGATTTGTGGCCTGCTTTCTTTCATACATTTTTATGTAGATTATTATTGGGTCCAATTAGAGCTTCTTGGTCTGTTCCTCTTATTGTGCATAAGCCTTCATCTGTCTTTTACCTCCAAGCTTGTGTCTCTTTCCTCCTTCCAAATTAGTTTATAGCCCTCCTGATGAAATTCTTCAAGGTGTGGCCAACCATTTTTAGGGGAACGAGTTGTTAAATCAGGGATCTGTAGTATCTTTTAGATGGGAACCCGTGTAGTCTCCTATCTGGACTAACAACGAGGTAAACAACTGTTTATAACTGGCATTTCATCAGCATCAGTAGCTGTCTCTCATTTTCCAAATCATTGAAAGTAGCCAAAATAAGCAGCCAGAATAATTGGCACTTACTTGTATTAAACAAAATGAAGGATTGTGGTGGCTTACTCAGGTTCTATCTTGAGTTTTCAAATAATGAATAAAACTTTCTCTGACAGCCTTCTGACAAGAGGCTTTGATGCCCAAGTCCCGAATTATGTGGCGTGAATCAGTTGTTCAGATTATATTGCTTCACCTAAAAACTCCTTTATACTACGGCATCTCTAACAAAGCACATCTTGGCCTTCTCCCCAGTGCAAGAGACTTTGCCCAATACATATGGTATTCATCCAGAAGCACAGTGAAGAGGCTTCCATGTGCTGAGTAACTAGGAGTTTGATGGGAAAAACTGATCAACTTTACTATGCGAGAGATTATCATTCTGGTGGGGGAGAGTGTTGGTATTAAGAATACTGTGATAAAGGGCTACCAAACCTAGTACAGTAAAGTATGTATGGTCCCTTTTGGGATCTTTCAAGCTTAAATCTTTCAATATGTAAAACAGCTCTACAGCAGGCTTACTATAGACTGATATTTTGTAATACCAATGCAAAGTCTGTAGCCATGATTTTTAAGAGATCTAGGCTTCTCTGGCTAACATCAGCTGAATTGCTCTCATATATCAGATATTCTGATGCTCCTTTTTTCCTCAGGGGAAATGAGGCCATGAAAGTATGAATGGGAATAATACAGGTAAGTGCTTATCAAACAGGAGAAAAGGTGAGGCATGACAGACAAACCAGGTGGAAAACCTGGATCTCAGAAAATGCAGAAGATAGATGGAGATGGGGAAATGAGAGTAGGAATAAACTAACAGGCATGTATGGCTGGAAAAACAGGAGTGGGAAATGAAGTTCATGTTTTGATTCAAACGAATGAGCAAATTTTGGACTAGACACTTCAATGATTATATAACAGAAAATGTTATTCTAAGCCTATGTTAGATAAGGCATTAGTTCTCCTTTGGCATGGAACAAGATCTGTTTTAACTACACGTGGATTTTAAATGGCATGCTTTTTTTTACTGAATTAGTTTTGTGTCTAGACATGGAGACATCCATTCTTATTATCTCAGGTATAAACTCAGGGCCACTGTGACTGAGAGTAATCTTGCCTGACCAAAGTTGTCATAAACAAATTCTAGATATTTAGACTCCTAAACATATTTTTAAAATAAAACAAATTAAAAAATTAAAGCGTGATCTGGAGGACTTTCCTTCAGCCTGGTTGTTGCTGAGATTGGAGGAGAGAACCAAAACCCACATTCTGTAACTGTCTGCTTAATGTGCTTTTTCCAAATTCCTAGAGCTCTGGAAAAAGACAGTGCTCCCACTAACTGGCTTCTTGCAACTATTCACCAACTTCTTTACCTTTATCTCTCACACCTTGTCACAATACATGGAGGACAGGACACACAGCTGGGTTTCAAGACAATGACTAGTGGACGTTTTCACTGGATGATGCAAACAGAATGACACCCTTTCCATATGGATAGTTGTCACCTTTGCACACAGGATGGCTGTTTAAGGGAGTACTGTACACCTAAGTGCAGGCATATAGCAGTGCAACTCTCATTAAACCAAATTACTAGATAACATGAGGCACCTCCACCACACACCCATTATGGTTATAAACATACTTGTTTCTTAATATTGCCGTGACAAGGGATCAAACCAAAAAATTAGGAGTTAAGCCCAAGAAATGTTCCAGTGAAATGATGTTTGCAAAATCTGTGATTTTTGAATTTCAGAGGGCAGATCAGCACCTATTGGCAACTGTTTTAACTTGCTTTAAGCTGATTATCATTTAAAGCTCATCTTGCCTGCAGTGCATCTGTCTGTTTTACTGTGGCAGCAAAAACATCAGATTAAAGGCAGCCCGGTCAGTCGTTAGCTCTGGCATTGGCTGCAAATCCAACTCCTTTCTCTCTCTCCACCCCCAACCAGAAGTTTAGGGAAGCAGATGTGGCCCATGATAACCATTTATGGAAAAACTCCTCAGCCCAGTCCGTTAACATGTTTACTTCCAACACGGAGCAGGAAGAGCCTTCCACAGTTTTCCAAATATATAAGCAGAGAAAGATTCTGGCGCTCAACTGTAAATTCTGGCCACTCTCTTTTAAGTTATCCCTACATCGGTTTTGTTTTCCACTTTCGTCTGCCTTCCGCCTCCAACTGCACCACAGGCCCGCGCTTCCCCCCCCCCCGCCCCGCCATTCTGGCGGGAACGCGACACCAAGGGCACATACATCAGGCTCCCAAAAGGCACCCATGGCAACTTTCTCCTGCTATCTTCAATTTCAACCCATGGGGGGGGGAGAAGAGTGTAGCTGCGGGGGGGACATGCAAAGGAAGAAGCGTCTCAGGATGCCTCTGCGCTGCCAAACCGGGAGCGCCCAGATTCAAGAGCCACGAGTTTCTTTGGAGCGCGCCAAGGTCAACAGCCGAGGGACCGATCCTGCCCCCTCCCCCGTTTCCTCACAAGTAGAGGTCGCGCTCGACGATTCCCACACCCGTATTATCCGCGCGCCTTTTCCCCGTGCTTGTGGTGTGGCTCGCAATGACTTAAGTCCACAATAATGCGGACAAGCTCTCTGGCACGTCTCTGAGGCTCGTCCTCCCAGGACTTTCTCGAGGAAACGTTTCTTTTTCTCTCTCTCTCTCTCTCCCTCCCCTGCCGCCACTCCTTCGGCGAATTTCCTACAGTACTTCCTTTCTTGCTCTCGGGCTCTCAAGAGGGGGGAAACTGGTCTAAACCACTTCAGCAAGCCCCACGCCACTTTTTTTTTTGCGTGAAGACAGGGACCCTCTTCCCCGCCCCACAGCCTAGCTCCATCATTTGCGCACGCCCGTGTGCCGACCCACCGACGAAAGCCTTCCACCCCATTTCCAGGCTTGCCGCCTTCTTTGCTCCAGCAATGCAACACGCAGCCTGCTGCAACGCAAAGATACCCTCTTTTATTTCCTGAGCGCCTTTGAAATTTGCATGCCACGCAGTTGGAGAGTCATTCTGCAAACCGCACGCTCTTCTACAACCCCCCCCCACACACACTACTATCACACAAACAGCAACTCTCCATCACTCCCGAGTCTCGCCGCGCAACAAGCGGCCCGTCCCTTTATATAGTTCTCTAAAAATAGCTCCGCTTACACTGCCTTATTAGGCGGCAGTCTACTGGAGCCCTTGTCCAATCGCTCTGGCCCTTCCGTGCTATGTCCCACCTTCCCCTCTCGCCTAGGCCTTGGATTGGACACCAGTGACTTCATGAGCGGCCCTTTCGTCCCACCCCCTGTTTACCTTACATGGTCACGCGCTGCCTTAATGGACAGTTTCCTCTCAAGATCCCACGACTGCGCGGAAAAG